AACTGAGAAGGCTATGAAGTGACTAATTGTCAGGTAGTGTCTACAGTTGAGATATGCTGGACAAAGGGATGACTCACGTCCTGGGAGGGATGGCACAAGATTTCATCACACTCCTCAGAAGAGCAATGTGCAATTTAAAAGTTATGAATTGTTTATTTCTGGAATTTTCCATTTAATATTTTCAGATCTTGGTGGGCTAAGATTGACCTTGGGTAAGTGAAGGTGTGGAAAGCAAAACCTCAGATAAAGGGAACTACTGTGTATATTTATATATACAATACATGTATTCTTTCCTGAGGGAAGGAAGAACTGTTTTTTGGTTTTTTTTTTTTTTTTTTTTTTTTTTTTGAGGCGGAGTTTCGCTCTTGTTACCCAGGTTGGAGTGCAATGGCGCGATCTCAGCTCACCACAACCTCCGCCTCCTGGGTTCAGGCAATTCTTCTGTCTCAGCCTCTGAGTAGCTGGGATTACAGGCACGCACCACCATGCCCAGCTAACTTTTTGTATTTTTAGTAGAGACGAGGTTTCACCTTGCTGACCAGGATGGTCTTGATCTCTTGACCTCGTGATCCACCCGCCTCGGCCTCCCAAAGTGCTGGGATTACAGGCTTGAGCCACCGCTGCCCGGCCAGGAAGAACTGTTTTTATAACTTTTACTTAATCTGAAATTACATCAAAAAATTTAAAAAATACTCCTTAAGATAATGCAGATTGACACCACACTACACACCCACTAGAATAGTTTAAATCAAAAAGATAGGCTAGGCATGGTGGCTCATGCCTATATCCCAGCACTTTGGGAGGCTGAGGTGGGTAAATTGCTTGAGTCCAGGAGTTTGAGACCAGCTTGGACAGCATGGTGAAACCCTGTCTGATATGGTTTTGCTGTGTCCCCACCCAAATCTCATCTTGAATGGTAATTCCCACAATTCCCACGTGTTGTGAGAGAAACTAGTGGGAGGTGAGTGAATTATTCAGCGGTGGGGCAGGGGGGGGTCTTTCCTGCATTGTCTTCCTGGTAGTAAATGAGTCTCACAAGATCTGATGGTTTTAAAAATGGGAGTTTCCCTACATAAGCTTCTTTTTACCTACTGTCATCCATGTAAGAGATGACTTGCTCCTCCTTGCCTTCTACCATGATTGTGAGGCCTCCCCAGCCACTTGGAACTGTGAGTCCAATTCAACCTCTTTCCTTTGTAAATTTTCCAGTCTCAAATATGTCTTTATCAGCAGCATGAAAAGGGACTAATACAGTAAATTAAAAAATACAAAGATTAGCTAGGTGTGGTGGCGTGTGCCTGTAGTCCCAGCTACTTAGGAGGCTGAGATGAGAGAATGACTTGATCCTGGAAGGTTGAGGCTGCAGTGAGTCCCTGTGATGGCACCACTGCATGCCAGCCTGGGCAACAGGGTGAGATCTTGTCTTAAAAAAAAAAAGATAGACAATGCCAAGTATTAACAAGGTTGTACATAAACTGGAATCCTCACATATTAGTGGTAGGGTTGTAAATTATTACAACCACTTTGGAAAACAGTTTGTCAGATTCTAAAAAATTTATATATATTTACCATATGTCCAAGCAATTCTACTTCTCTGTATCTAGTCAAGAGAAATGAAGACATATGTCCACACAAAAATTTGTATATGAATTTTTATCACAGCATTTAATAATAGCCCAAAATTGGGAACATTTTAAATGTCCATCAGTGAATGGGTAAACAAAATAAGGTGCACTACTCAGCAGTTAAAATGAAATTCTGATTCATGTAACAATATGGATAAACCTCAAAAATATTATGATAAGTCAAAAAAGCAAGGCACAGAAGACTATATATTATTTGATTCTATTTATTCGAAATAAGGAAAATAGATCAATGGTTGTCTGGAGCCAAAGGTGGGATGGAGACTAACTGCAAACAGGCATGAAAGAACTTTTGGGGGTAATAGGAGTCTTCTAACACTGGATTGTGCTGATGCTTGCATGACAGAATGTTAAAATTTGTGAATTTTATGGTATGTAAGTTATACCTTAATATAGTTATTTTTTATGAAGACACTATATAGTACCTGCAAAATGGGAAACAAATAGACTCTTCACTAAATGGTGGTGGGACAACTGGCTACTATCCATATTTAAAAAAATTAGTTCCTTACCTCATACCACACACACAATTCCAACTGGTTTAAAGACCTAAGTTTTTTTCTTTTTTTTTGAGACGAAGTTTCACTCTTGTTACCCAGGCTGGAGTGCAATGGCGCGATCTCGGCTCACCGCAACCTCCGCCTCCTGGGTTCAAGCAATTCTCCTGCCTCAGCCCCCCAAGTAGCTGGGATTACAGGCATGTGCCACCATGCCCAGCTAATTTTTTGTATTTTTAGTAGAGACGGGGTTTCACCATGTTGACCAGGATGGTCTCGATCTCTTGACCTCGTGATCCACTTGTCTCGGCCTCCCAAAGTGCTGGGATTACAGGCTTGAGCCACCGCGCCCGGCCTCTAAGTTTTTTTCTTAAGAGACAGGGTTTTGCTGTGTTGCCCAGGCTGGAGTGTAGTGCAGTGGCACAATCCTGGGCTGAAGGGATCCTCCTACTTTAGCCTTCCAAGTAGCTGGGAATACAGGCATGTGCCACCACTCCTGGCTATTTTATTATGCGTAGAGACAGAGTCTCACTATGTTGCCCAGGCTAGTCTTGAACTCCTGGCCTCAAGTAATCCTCATGACTTAGCCTTCCAAAGAGCTGCGATTATAGGCATGAGCCTCTGTGCCCAGCCCTAAAGATCTAAGTCTTTTTTTTTTTTTTCTTTTTTTTTTTTTGAGACGGGGTCTTGCTCTGGTATCCAGGCTGGAGTGCCATGGCAGGAACACAGTTCACTTGCTGTCTTGACCTTCTGGGCTCAAGTGATCCTACTGCCTCAGCCTCCCAAGTATCTGGGGCAACAGGTGTGTGCCACCACGCCTAATTTTTTTCATTTTTGTAGAGACAGAGTCTCACCATGTTGCCCAGGCTGGTCTTGGAACAACTGGGCTTAAGTGATCTTTCCCCATCAGCCTCGCAAAATGCTGGGATTACAGGCATGAGCCACTGCACCCAACCCTGTGCCCATTTAAAAATCAGATTGTAGAGTTTTTCCTTATTGTAGCAGCTATTTATATAACCTGTATGCTAATCCTTTATTAGTTATAAATTCTGCAAATATTTATAATAAAGTCCTTAAACTTTAGTGCCATTTGTTATACATGCGTTTCCAACTTTAAAGTAGTGGGAAAATCACTTGAGCCTAGAAGATCGAGGCTGCAGTGAGCTGTGATTATGCCACTGCACTCCAGCCTGAATGACAGAGCCAGACCCTGTCTCAAAAAAGAAAAAAAAAGGGGGGAGGTGGGCGCATGGGGAATGGCATAGGAATATATAGTTTGCTGATGCGGAGACTGTAAAAGTTAATACATGTATGAGAAGGTCTGTGTTACTAGTAAGCATAAGAATGCAACTTAGAATAATGATGTGGCAGAAATTCACAGCCATCAGACTGGCAAAAATTAAAGCATGGTATTAGCACTGATGAAAATTCTCATAATTACAATTGGATGTAAATTGGCATGACCACTTTTAAGTGCAATGTGGCATTATTTAGTTACATTCATATCTACAATTCGGCAATGTCATATCTAGATAATAGTGCTAAGAAAAATACAAGAAGATACATACATCGCCTCTAATACCAGGTACTCAGGAGGCTGAGGCAGGAGAATCACTTGAACCTGGGTGGCAGAAGTTGCAGTGAGCCAAGATTGTGCCACTGCACTCCAGCCTGGGTGGTGACAGAGTGAGACTCCATCTCAAAAAAAAAGAAAGAAAGAAAAGAAAATACACACGACGAATTTACTGCAGGAATGTTCATGATATCAGAAAAATATTTTTCAAAATTGTTTTGGCTATTCAGCATCCTCACATGATTGGGGCCTCTGCCTCCCTGTGGCAGTAGGGAAACAAAGGTAATAGTGTTAGGAAAGAAGGATATGCTGGAAAATGCCACTGACAATTCAGTGAACTTCAAGTGGGAACATTTCAAAGTGTAGATTTGTAGGAAGTAAGGATTTGGGGTATGAAAGTTTTGTGAACTAGTAAAAATTTCATACAGACTAGCATTAATTAGAAAATTGGACTAGGTATTCCCCAAGTCCCCTTCAGACCTGAATATTCTGTGGTTCTTACATATTTAAGCTTTCCCAAGTGACTTCACATACTCTCAGTTACTATGTAACAAACTTGTGAAGTCGAATAGTGGATTCATATTATCTCATTTAACTCTTGGAGGAGTGGTTCATGCAAAGAATAGTATTAACTGGGGGGCGGGGGGAGTAGTTAGTGTTCTTATCTCATATTATCTTCATAGAAGTAATTTTGATACCTACTTTTTCTAATTCCTAGAGACAGAATAATGTAGTAATTAAAAACTTGGACTGTGGAGTCAAACTTCATTGTTTTAAAATCTGGCTCCTCTACGTATTAGCTTCATAACCCTGGCAAGTTACTTAACCTCTCTGTAAACTGGGAATAATAAATAACAGTAGTTATCTCCTAGGTCTTGAGAATTAAGAGTGAATTTAGGTAAAGCACTGAAAACGTCAACAATGAAAATAATGTAAATTACATAGTGCAAACTGGTAGGTGTTAATTATTACTAACAGAATGGCTTCAATCCTAAGCGGAACAAATGACTCACAGTGCTTTTAAAAAAAAAAAAGAGAGAGAGGCCAAGTTATCTTTAAGCTTTTCAAAATGAAGGAGGAATTTAAAACAACAACAACAACAACAACAACAACAACGCGTTTTCTCCCTACCACCTTTCATTTGCTAGCCTCCCCTCTGAATTCAGAGGTTCTTAACTGGAAGGTGTAGAAGCCTCTGACTTAGGTGGAAACAGCTGAGGCAATGTATTTTCCTTACCATAATGTTTATGACCTGTCATCATCACCAGCTGCTGAACTTTTTTTCAGGTTGGACGGCAATTAGAAGCTGAGCAGGCCTACAAGTACACGAAAAAGGTATGACATAGTTGCCTTTGTCATTTGCCTGCCCCATGTTGAGGGTGGGAAATTAGGAGGAAGGTATTGGCTTAATTCAGGACTTTCATAATGTTAATTTTTTTCTAGAGGCTTTTCTTGCCATCTTTGCCATTATCAATGGGCTGCTGGGTTTGTAATAATAACCTACATATTGCCATGGGTGATCTTTCTTCCAACTCTTTAGAGATAATATATAACAGTTAATAGAAAGATAGCCTGGGAGTCAGTCAACCTGAATTATGATTCTGGTTTTGCCATTAACTTACTGTGTTAATAATATTGTGAGCTTCATTTTTCTCATGTGCAAAATGTAGGGGTTCATCTAGTCTAGGGGTCAGCAAACATTTTCTATAAAGGGCAAAGTAGGAAATTTTGGGGAATTTATAGGCCAAACAGTTTGTTGCAACTACTAAACTCTGCACTTGTAGTACAAAAGCAGTTACAGATAATACATAAGTGAATGGCTGTGTTCCAATAGAACTTACTTACAAAAACAGGTAGTGAGCTGGATTTGGCTCATGAACAGCCACTGGTCTGTTTTTTGTTTTTTTGTTTTTTTTTGTTTTTTTTTTTTGAGACGGAGTTTCTCTCTTGTTACCCAGGCTGGAGTGCAATGGTGCGATCTCGGCTCACCGCAACCTCTGCCTCCTGGGTTCAGGCCATTCTCCTGCCTCAGCCTCCCTAGTAGCTGGGACTACAGGCATGCGCCACCATGCCCAGCTAATTTTTGTATTTTTAGTAGAGACGGGGTTTTACCATGTTGACCGGGATGGTCTCGATCTCTTGACCTCGTGATCCACTCGTCTCGGCCTCCCAAAGTGCTGGGATTATAGGCATGAGCCACCACACCCGGCCGCCTCTGGTCTGTTTTATGAGTTACATATACATACATATTTTGAGACAGAGTCTCGCACTGTTGCCCAGACTGGAGTGCAAGAGCACAATCTCAGCTCACTGCAACCTCCACCTCTGCGTTCAAGCAATTCTTGTGCCTGAGCCACCCAAGTAGCTGGGATTACAGGCATGTACCACCACACCCAGCTGATTTTTTGTATTTTTAATATAGACAGGGTTTTGCTGTGTTGGCCAGGCTAGTCTCGAACTCCTGGTCTCAAGTGATCTGCCCACCTCAGTCTCCCAAAGTGTTGGAATTACAGGCGTGAGCCACTGCGCCCAGCCTGTTCTATTAGCTATGAATCCCAAGTAACTTGAAAGACAGTGGTTTAAACAAATTAGTGTTTTCTCATCTAATGAAAAGTCCAGGGCTGGTACCACAGCTCCATAATGTCATCAGGGACCCAGCATCTTCTTTGTGCTCCACCAATTGTAGCATACAGTTTCTATCCCTCACAGTTGCAAGACAGCCAATGTAGCTTGCTGTCATGTCCATGTTTTCAGGCAAGATAAAGAACCATAAGGAAAAGGGGCCATGCTACTTCCCTTCCCTTTAAAGGACTTTCCCTAAATAAAGGGCTTCTCCAGGTGTTCTACCCAATGACTTTAGTTTACATTTCATTAGGCCACAATTGGTCATATGACTACCTCTAGCTGCACTGGAAGCAGGAAAATGTGGCTTTTTAGCTGATAGCATTGCTGCCTTGAAAATAAATTAAGATTTTGTTAGTAAGAAAGAATGGGTATTCAGTGGGGTCCTAGATGTCTCTAGTACATATCTAGATTCTAAAACTAAAACCAGATCTAATACAAGCCTATTTCCTGATTCTCTGCTGTCATTTGCCAAATGGGAATACTACACATTAGCCAAGAGATGCTGGTAATAATGTGAACACTTTTTAAAAATAAAAAAAGTAAACTTTAAGTTATCTTACAAAAAAATGTACAGATCATGACTGTTCATAGTGCTTAATGAATTTTCACGAAGTAAACATATCCATGTATCCAAGACAAGGTTCTAAGGTCTTCTATAGTGGAGTTTTCACGAAGTAGGGAATAAAGAGCTAATTCCATCCCAGGGAACTATGTTCTTTAGCTGTAGTCCTACAAAAGAGAGGTCTTCAAAGCCACATAAAGTATATCATTTATGACAAGTGTTTTTCCCTTTCTTCCTCTTTCATGTAGCTAAAATTGAAAGATGAGGCTCTGCTTGCAGAGATCCACACAGTACAGGAAACCGTTGGCTTTGGAAATCCATCTTTCTGATACCTCTCCAGCTGAACAATTTTCTATATGAGACTCTGAGTTCCTTTCCTTCCCAGAGAGTTCCACACCATATGAAGCCTGGAAATGGGCTGCTGGGTTTGTAAAAATAACCTACAAAAGAATCTTCACCATAAATAGAGACCCATTCATTTCTTTCCATTGGCTGTGTTACTGGATGTTTTACTGGTTGATAAGAAACTGGGTCACAATAAAGAATGAAAATGTGAAACTCAAAATTCATCAGTGTGGTTCTGGAGTTAACGTATACTGAGTTATATATAGGTATTATATAAATAGCTATATATAGTGTAATTGCTCTAATAATTATATGGCACATGTATAACACATGTAATAAAATGTGTATACTGGGGTCATTATTAGGGTTTCTGATGAAAGCTTATTGGATCACTCATGGAAAAAGTCAGCTGCTAAGATCTCTGGCCAGGTTCAGTCAACTGAAATACAGGAATGAAGGCATCGTTTTCAAAGGTGGCCCTGGAGGAAGACTGCTATGCTGAGCACTGTATTAGGGCAAAGAGCATATTAGCCCTTTGGAACTAACAGTGAACAAAAAGCTGAACAGACAGGTCTTAGCTGAAGGTGGAGCAACAGACACTTTCTCACCAAAACACAGGCATTTTCATGGATATAAATCACTGGGGCTCTAAGGAAACACCATTACCCTCATCACTGAGGCCATATACTAGGGCTACAGATGATAGAAAAAAAAAAATCATACTTCACCTCTGCCCAGGATCACAGCATGGCAAATGCAGGAATAACCCCTCCTTTATTTTATTTACTTATTTATTTATTTTTGACGGAGTTTCGCTCTTGTTACCCAGGCTGGAGTGCAATGGCGCGATCTCGGCTCACCGCAACCTCCGCCTCCCGGGTTCAGGCAATTCTCCTGCCCCAGCATCCTGAGTAGCTGGGATTACAGGCACACGCCACCATGCCCAGCTAATTTTTTGTATTTTTAGTAAGATGGGGTTTCATCATGTTGACCAGGATGGTCTCAATCTCTTGACCTCGTGATCCACCCGCCTCGGCCTCCCAAAGTGCTGGGATTACAGGCTTGAGCCACCGCGCCCGGCCTTTATTTTTTTAAGGTGTGACTGCCTCGATAGGGGTGGGAGGATCATAGGAGGAAAGGTGAGAGGTAAACGTTTTGGTTAACTGTAGTCACTTATAATCTTTCTAGTCTCGGCCCTGACGCTACCTCCTCTGTGAAGTCGTCAGCAAGCATTAGGTTTGCCTTCTCTGCTCTCCTTGCACTAAGTACTACAGATCGCCCTAGTTTCTCTGCTGCAATCTCACGGTCTCCCCAGTGGACTGTGAGCTCCACGAGGAAGAGAGAGCGCCCTTTCGTATTTGCGTTCTCAGCGTTGCGCCTCGGCATCAACGCGAGCAAGATGGATGGATGTTACAGCGCTCCTCTTGGCGTGGCTGTGTTTCGCCCAACAATTCTGACTCCAGCAGTGACTCATAAGCCTGAGAAGAATCGCACCGCCACTCCCACCAGACACCACGAGAAACGCCTCTTTTGCAGCAGTTTAAGGTACGTTAGGGGTCACCGTGTTGCATCGTGGGAAGTGTAGGGCAGCAAGCGGAAGAGGCGGGGCGAGTGGATCATCCGCTTCCCGAGTCGAGGCTTTCGGGCTTTGATAGGCGGGCGGTAGGGCCCAGTGTTCTGCACGCCTTCGTGTTTGTGTCGGTCCTCTGCCCCGCCAAGGCCGTATTGTTGGTGCGCGCGGGTAGCGGGGCGCTCCAAGGAGCCGCACCATGGTCCACCTCAGTGAGTCATTGGGCCCCCACGAGACGTTCCGGGCGGTCACGGGGCTCGGGAGTTTCGGGACCGGGTGAGGCAGTGGTCTCCCTGGCGCGATGGAGGGAACCCAAACCTGAAGCAGCCACACTACTTTACACTGGATCCTTCTCTCAGTTTTTTTCCCCGTTTAATCACCGCTGAAAAATCCCCACCCCACTGAAGCAGCTAAGGTTCCGACAAGGTCACAGAGCTGGTGAATGGCAAATCCATGCTGAGCGGGTTTGGGTATGAAGAGATCATTGCTGGCTGGAGTGGCCAAGAGGTGTTTCACAAAGAACAACAGTATCTAAGCTGAATTGACAGGAATGGATTGGAAGTGAGGACATTTCAGTGGAAAAAGGGAATTGTCCCGTCTGTGTCATTTTGCCCGTTTTGTGTTGTTCTTGTGTCCTAACCAGGTGTTTTTCTACAGCTACTCTCCTCTGCAAGGCCTACCATGGAGGCCATTTAACCATCCGCCTTGCACTGGGTGGCTGCACCAACCGGCCCTTCTACCGCATTGTAGCTGCTCACAACAAGTGCCCCAGAGATGGCCGTTTCATAGAGCAGCTCGGCTCCTATGATCCATTGCCCAACAGCCATGGAGAAAAACTCGTTGCCCTCAACCTAGACAGGATCCGTCATTGGATTGGCTGCGGGGCCCACCTCTCTAAGCCTATGGAAAAGCTTCTGGGTAACTTAGCTCTGGTCTTACCTTATTGAGGGGATTTTAAACTGAAGTCAGCTCCAGGACAGTGGGTATAAGAATGGTTTTTCGGCCGGGCGTGGTGGCTCATGCCTGTAATCCCAAAACTTTGGGAGGCCGAGGCGGGCAGATCATCTGAGGTCAAGAGTTTGAGACCAGCCTGGCCAACATGCTGAAACCTCGTCGCTACTAAAAATACAAAAAAATAAATTAGCTGGGCGTGGTGGTGCGTGCCTGTAGTCCCAGCTACTGGGGAGGCTGAGACAGAAGAATCTCTTGAACCCAGGAAGCGGAGATTGCAGTGAGCCAAGATCAAGCCACTGCACTCCAGTGTGGGCGACAGAGGGAGAATCCATCTCAAAAAAAAAGAAAAAAGATTTTCCTTCTCTCTAGGTTGTACAGGACTGAAATGGGAGCTGAAGTTTTGATCTAATTGGCATTTTGAATCTGCAGACCCTGTTTGTGGACTCCTTTGTAAGACTTTTTGGGTGACTGGTATTTTATACTAAAAATGGGAATAGTGTGTTTTGAATGGCCATCTGTCACTTTGCCTTTTTTAAAGTAAGGGGAATACTTTTAAGAAGTAGACATCCACTGTCTCCTTGCCAGGGAGAGGTAGTACAGAGTTTGGCAAGTGAGGAGCATGGTTTACATCCATACAGTGGGTCAGATCTCAGACCTCTGTTCTGTGAGACAGTTCCTAGGGAAGCATTGGCTTATACTGTGTTATAATAAGTGAAAAATCTGTTGCTTTTAGGTCTTGCTGGCTTTTTCCCTCTGCATCCTATGATGATCACAGATGCTGAGAGACTGCGAAGGAAACGGGCATGTGAAGTCCTGTTAGCTTCTCAGAAAACAGATGCAGAAGCTACAGATACAGAAGCCACAGAAACATAAGTGAGCTGACTTCAACCAGCATAGCCGTGGGAACAAGGTTAAGGTCCTTTTGAAACACTGCAGAGATCTTACTTTTGTTAGATTTGGAGTTCAATAAATGGAGTATCCTGAGTTGCCCTTGCTCTTCTGGCCTGGCCTCCACAGGGCCCAGGGAGAGATTTGTTCTTGTGTGATGTAGAGCTGGCTGTGGGTGCTAACTAGCTTTTTTGGACTTTGTCTTGGGAAAGACAGTGGCTGTGGGAGGATCGGACTTTTGAATTGGGCTCTGGGTCTCCTGGACAACTTTACAATCTACTGGCTTCCAAGACTTCCTGCTTCAAAACCTCCAGCCAGATTATTCATGGCCCGTACAAATCTTCATGTTCTTCCCTCAAGTGCAAGAACAGTTGCCTTTCTTACTGATTTTGTAATTGGAGAATTATATTGTCTTGCTTAATGCATATTCCTTTTTTTTTGAGATGGAGTTGGTCTCTTGCCAGGCTGGAGTACAGTGGCACGATCTTGGCTTACTGCAGTCTCCACCTCCCAGGTTCAAGCGATTCTTCTGCCTCAGCCTCCCAAGTAGCTGGGATTACAGGCACCCACTACCACACCCAGCTAATTTTTGTATTTTTAGTAGAGACAGGTTTTCATCATGTTGGCCAGGATGATCTTGATCTCCTGACCTTGTGATCTGCCTGCCTTGGTCTCCCAAAGTGCTGAGATTACAGGCGTGAGCCACTGCATGCCTAAATATACAAAGGTAGATTTGTTTTGCTTTTGGGCTATAATAACCTACCTTTTAAGAATGAGAAACTGCTGGTTTAAGGGAGTTCAGAATGAATCAAGACTGAACCATTCAAATGTGGCTGTGGTTTCTACATATATATGGATGGGATCCTTCTGAGAATACTGGAATAGGGAATTATGACACCAAGCCAATTCAGCTGTGAAACTTATTCTTGTACTTTTCTTTCTTGCTGGTAATTTTATGGAGCAGGTTAAGAAAGCTGCTCTGTGTTAGGATAAACTATGTACCAATAATTTTGAGAACCTGTGATGACTGATGCATTTTACTTCTTCTATCTTTTCCTTCCTACCTTGATGCCAGTAATGTGTAAGGGATCTTTATAGTTTGAATGTATTTGAATAATTTCAGTATCCTTTAGCTCTGCTTTTTTATTTGACTCACAACCATTCATAGGTCTCAAGTATTCCCATGTGTTTTAAAAGCCTTAAGTCAGTGAGATGAAACTCAACATCAATAATATGAAGTAACTTGTAAAGAAATAATGTAAAGAAATCATTGGGGCAGTGGCTCACACCTGTAATCTCAGCACTTTGAGAGGCTGAGGTGGAAGGATCACTGGAAGCCAGAGTTCAAGACCAGCCCGGGCAACACACCAATACACCGTCTTTACAAAAAATTTAAAAATTAGCTTGGCATGGTGGTGCTCACTCATAGTTCCAGCTACTCAGGAGGCTGAGTCACTTGAGCCCAGGAGGCCAGTGCTACAGTGAACTATGATTGTCCCACTATAGTATTGCCTGGGCGACAGTAAGACCCTGTCTCAAAAAGAAAAGAAAAAACATTAGGTAGTTTGGCTGGAGCATAATAATTAATTTGATTTTCTGGTTTTCAAAAATGTGAGTTGCAATAAAAGAATATTTCAATGTGCTATTTCAATTTTCAGTAGCAAATGTATATATAGAAAAATGTTAATGTATGTGAGTACCTTAAAAAATGTGAGAAACTGGAAGAAAGATAATATTGTAAAGCATCTACATATACCCTAGGCCTTTTGTGTACACGGTTATTTGTGATGATTATAAGGTATTATGAAGGCAGGTAGGATTATCTCCATTTTACAGTCAGGGAAGCTGAAGCCTAGAGGTGGAAACTTGTTCAGTGATGTAAGATTCATACCCTGGTTATGCCCTCCTGGAAAGCCCTTCCCAACATATGTTGTCCATACAGGGAAAAAATGAGCAAAGATAGGTGGCTTAACTCTGGTATATGAATAAGATACAGGAAATTTATAGAGGAGTTTTTCTCAATGTGCCAACTTACTTTGTTCTCTGTGTTTTATATTCTGAGAATGATTACCAGCCATCCCAAATTCTGTGGTTGTTAAAACTCCCTGGGGGTTGTTGCTGGTCGGCCCCCACTTTGAGACTGATGCCAGGGCAGGCTGAGAGGAAAACTGACTTTATCTGGGTTTGATCTTGGATCTGGGAAAGAGATACGCTTTGAAAATCATGGCAACTCTGGGAGGTTAAAAAGATATTAGTGTATCCTGGAGAGTTTGAGGTTTTGCAGAAATTTACTGGCAGAGCAGAATGATTCTGAAGTGTTAAGTCAGTGAGGGGATAAGATACTTGATATTTTCTGCCAACTTGGGTATTCTCTCAGATATTCACTTTGCATTGCTTATTCTTCGTCTTAAGATACGTATACACATACTTCCTTTGTGAGCTTATTCTACTTCCAGAGTTTTCTCCCCAGCCTCAGCCTTACTTTGGGTCTTCAGGCCCAAGTTTCTCCCCATGTCTTGGATAATTGCTCCCACCTGGGATCCAACATGCTTAAACTCAGCTGTGAACTAAACAGTATTAAAGAGCCTTTGCTTCAGCAGTTTATGTTAAGACGGGGGCTTGGGTCATCTTATCTCCACTAATGTGTAAGGTGAAAGTCCTGTTAGATATTTTTGGAAGACCCATGTTTTGTGCTTTTTGAGTTTCAGTATTAAGGTTTTTCCTGCAGGGCTGCAGGGAAAGTTCCCCAGCATTTCCAACCAGTGAGATGCTAAATTATTTGGGCCTGCAGCTCTACCTATTCCTTTCACGATCATTTTTGAAAAAACACATCTGTTAAGCTGAACCATGTGAAACTGCTGAATGCTGATGTTTGGCCGTTTTCTACTTAAAAAATAGGCCAGCAGTTTGTAAATTCAAGTTAATATATGAACTTTTTGAAAAAGCTTTTCTGGGAAACTGAAAGGAAGAAGGACGCCAGATTTCCAGAGCAAGGGGAGGAGGGACCCGAGCAACATCTCTCCCCTGTGAAACCTCGCTCCTGCGCGCGGCCAGTAACTTCGACTTCGCCTGCCGACTCTTACCTGCGCCGGCGCCGGCCTCGCTGTGCCCCATTTTGCGGCCGCCGTAAAGAGTAGCTGCGCGGCGTGGCCACGCCCCTTTAGCGCTTGTGACGCAGGCGCCCTAGGCTTTTTGGGCGGGAAAAAGAAGCAACCCTGAGTGGTGGCCGGCGCTACTGGGAGCAGCTGCATTCTCCCAGGCCGTGTCTCCCGCCCCCGGCATGGGGCTGCTGGAGCTTTGCGAGGAAGTGTTCGGCACCGCCGACCTTTACCGGGTGCTGGGCGTGCGACGTGAGGCCTCCGACGGCGAGGTCCGACGAGGCTACCACAAGGTGTCCCTGCAGGTGCACCCCGACCGGGTGGGCGAGGGCGACAAGGAGGACGCCACTCGCCGCTTCCAGGTACGCAGGATCCCGCCCCGAGGCCGACTGGCCACCCGGGCCTCCTCAGCCTTTTGGCTACCGGGCCTCGCCCGGGGGAGCGCACTGAGCTGGTCTTTGCGCCTTCTGGTCTTTTCTCCCGTCGCGGTTTCGGTGGGAGGAGCAGGGGTGACTTATGGATACTCTCTGCCCTCAGATCCTGGGAAGAGTCTACTCCGTTCTCAGTGACAAAGAACAGAGAGCTGTGTACGATGAGCAGGGAACAGTGGACGAGGACTCTGCTGTGCTCACCCAAGACCGAGACTGGGAGTCGTATTGGCGGCTACTCTTTAAAAAGGTAGGAGATTCTGGAGGTTTCTTTGTGACTTTTACCATCATTCGATCAACAAAATTTTATTGATTGCCTCTAAAGTCTTGTGTTAATTTTGTAGGAATGAGGAATTTTGAGTATGGCCTTGAAATATAAATACACACTTACTGAAACAGGCTTTTTATTTCCTGTTAATGTGATTGTTGCACTGAAAAGGGCCGATTAATTTTTCTGTAGGATGCACTTTATTTTACATATCCAATTGTAAGTCCTGATCTCGGGTCTCCTTTCACCCTTGGAAACTTCTCTTACATTTCTCTTTCCTGGTCCCTAGTTAGCAGTTGTGAAGACTGGACTTAGAAAGGAGAACTCTGGAAAAGCTTAGGCATAGAAAATCTGGTTCAGCAATTTCAACTCAAGCAACTGTTGTATTACAGCAATTCAACACCTAACTCTAGTTTTATTAGTGTACCTTTTATCTAAAGTCAAACTCTCAAAGTTAAAGCAAATCTCCTTTATTCTCAGATATCTTTAGAGGATATTCAAGCTTTTGAAAAGACCTACAAAGGTTCAGAAGAAGAGCTGGCTGATATTAAACAGGCCTATCTGGACTTCAAGGGTGACATGGATCAAATAATGGAGTCTGTGCTTTGCGTGCAGTACACAGAGGAACCCAGGATAAGGAATATCATTCAACAAGCTATTGACGCGGGGGAGGTGCCATCCTATAATGCCTTTGTCAAAGAGTCGAAACAAAAGATGAATGCAAGGAAAAGGAGGGTAAGATTTGAATACTGTTGATTTATATCTTGACTGCTTCCAAAAAGGATTTGAGAGTATTTACAGCAGTAGAAGTAAACATAAAGCTCCAGAAATAATGACTAGGGTTAACTTGGTCTAATAGCTTTCATCTAATAAAATGGACATACCGGGGGCACGCCTGTAATCTCAGCACTTTGGGAGGCTGAGGTGGGTGGATCACGAGGTCAAGAGATTGAGACTATCCTGGCCAACATGGTCACCATCTCTACTAAAAATACAAAGATTAACTGGGCGTAGTGGCACGTATCTTTAATCCCAGCTACTTGGGAGGCTGAGGAAGGAGAATCACTTGAACTGGGGAGACGGAGGTTGCAGTTAGCCAAGATCGTGCCACTGGACTCCAGCTGGGTGACAGAGTAAGACTGTCTCAAAAAAATAATAAAATGGGCATACCAGTTCATCAAGAGAAACTATTTTTCTAGTATATTGTGCTCACGATGATTTTTATTGTTTAACTATTACCGTAGTAAAGTAGCACTGAAATCTTTTTTCATATGGGCCAATTCTTGTAGCCTTGCTGAGGCATCCCTCAGGAGATAAAGTTAATGGAGCCTGGATACACAGGACAGGCAGTGAGCCTTACTCGGTTGAGGGGTAAGAAGAGAATGGCAAAGCCGGGCGCGGTGGCTCAAGTCTGTAATCCCAGCACTTTGGGAGGCCGAGGCGGGCAGATCACAAGGTCGAGAGATCGAGACCATCCTGGTCAACATGGTGAAACCCCGTCTCTACTAAAAATACTAAAAATTAGCTGGGCATGGTGGCACGTGCCTGTAATCCCAGCTACTCAGGAGGCTGAGGCAGGAGAATTGCTTGAACCCAGGAGGCGGAGGTTGTGGTGAGCCGAGATCGCGCCATTGCACTCCAGCCTGGGTAACAAGAGCGAAACTCCGTCCCCCAAAAAAAAAAAAAAAAAAAAAGGCAGAGACTGTCTTGTTAAAAGTGCAGATTTGGGGGCCTTTGCCAGAGTTTGATTCTTGAGTTAGATACAGAATTCTTTTTTTTTTTTGATTGAGACAGAGTCTTGCTCTGTCACCCATGCTGGAGTGCAATGGTGTGATCTCGGCTCACTGCAACTTCTGCCTCCTCAGTTCAAGCGATTCTCCTGTCTCAGCCTCTGGAGTAGCTGGGACTACTGGCGCACACCACCACATCTGGCTAGTTTTTGTATTTTTCGTAGAGACAGGGTTTCATCATGTTGGCCAGGATGGTCTCGATCTCGACCTTGTGATCCACCTGCCTCAGCCTCCCAAAGTGCTGGAATTACAGGTGTGAACCACTGTGTCCAGCCTTTTTTTTTTTTTTTTTTTTTTAAGAAAAGCTAGCTTTGTGGTCCCCAGCTGTGCCAGGGGTAAGGCGAGTTGGGGGCGTGGTTCAGGATGAAACCTCAGCTCATCAGGCATTAGATTCTCACAAGGAGCACACAACTTTTAGAACCATTGCGGCCTTCATGAGTGCTCCCTGGAACTTTTCTGCAGCTTTTACATATGAAATGCATACAGAGAAAGCTGACCTTTTTGTTTCTGATGAAAATTCACAGGGCCTGTTTTGCCTAGATGGCTGCACCCTCTCTGGTGAGCTGAGGGGAGCTGTGGAGTGTATATCAAGATCATTTTGGTTCATAGGCTACATCTGCTAAGACTTAGGCTGACAATTACCTTAAGTTCATCATTTTCTGAGATGAAACTGAGCACAGCTGCATTCACAGTAGACTTAGCTTGAGAAACTTCCCTAGAATTTGAGGACAAAATGGCAGTTTTGAGAGACTGTTCAACAAACCTGAAGGGAATGCTGAGATAATTTGAATGCAAGGAAACAGTGTCTTCTTACAGGGATGGGAGGTCCTAATGTATCATCATCCCCAGTATTAATTTCATTAATTGCTACTTAGAAAATTCACAGGGGATGTTGGGGCCTCTTAAGTTGTTGCCCTAAGAACACCTTAGTGTGTTCTTTTGTTCTTAGCAGTATTTTGGAAACAGTGCCCTAGGAAAACCTGGCAAAGGAAGGCTGCTTTGAAATCAGGTCAAGAAAGGTTAAAACTGTCTGCTGATGTTTCTTCTGACTACTCAGAAGTCATTTTAAACTGGGATTCCCAAGGGGATTACCAGTCTCATGTAGTAAATTGGGTTTCCAGAAGAGGAATTGGAAGTACCTGTATCCCAGCAATTGCATCGTTTTCCTTACTTTTTTTTGTTCCGCTTTGTTTTTAAGAGATGACATTTTACTCCATCACCCAGGATGGAGTGCAGAGGCATGATCACAGCTCATGCAGCCTCGAACACCCAGGCTCAAGCTACCTTCCTACCTCAGCCTCCCTAGTAGCTGGGACTACAAGCACATGCCACTACACCAGGCTTATTTCTTTTATTTTTTGTAGAGATGAGGTCTTACTGTGTTATCCAGGCAGATTTTAAACTCCTGGGTTCAAGTATTCTCCCACCTTGGCCTCCCAAGGTATAGGGATGACAAGTGTGAGCCACCACACCCAGCCTCCTGTTCCTTTTTATCACAATGTGATTTATGAGTGCCAAATTACTTACTACCTGTAGCAAGTAGAATTGGGAAAAAGCGAATAAATGGTTAATTGGAATCACAGGATCTACTGCTTGTTGTCAGCATTGTTGCCTTTTAATAAATAACCTAGTTAGGTAATTCTATTTATATAATCCTCAAATTGAAACAGTATTACAGATTTGCTTTTGGGAAAGACAATGTATTTTAAACATTTCCTGGTTGCCCTGAATCTCATGTGAGTTTCTGTTGCAGGCTCAGGAAGAGGCCAAAGAAGCAGAAATGAGCAGAAAGGAGTTGGGGCTTGATGAAGGCGTGGATAGCCTGAAGGCAGCCATTCAGGTAAACTTGGCAGTTTATTGCCACTTTGTCCTTAATGATCTAAAACCTGTTGCTAATATTTTCCTTGGAATGTTGTATTTTGTTTTCTTCTTGTAAGTCATAACTTGAATGCCATCTATTTGTCCTTTTCAAGTGTACAATTTGGTGGTTTTTAATATATTTACAAAGTTTTACAATTATTAACACCAATTGAAGGACATTTTCACCACTCCAAAAAAACCTCCATACCCATTAGCACTTACTCCACTTCTCCAGCCCTTGGCAACCACTAAGTACTTTCTGTGGATAGTGTTGTGAAAGCTTGTGTTTTAACTTCTCAAACAGAGCAGACAAAAGGATCGGCAAAAGGAAATGGACAATTTTCTGGCTCAGATGGAAGCAAAGTACTGCAAACCTTCCAAAGGAGGAGGGAAAAAATCTGCTCTCAAGAAAGAAAAGAAATAATGGAATTTTTCTCTTCAGAGGTCTTTAGGTGTAAATTGATGCTATCATAGGCACGGTGCAGCCAAGATTTGAAGGCAAAAGTCAACTCAACTCTTGAGAAAAGTTGTCTTTCTAGCCTGAATTTTTCAGATAGATTAGACCAAGCAGAATCTGTCAACCTGATCTTAGTATTTCCTAGAAAACACCTGACATTGTGTGAGGTCTCACCTGAAGGAACTTGGTGGTGACAGTTGGGAGGGCGGAGGGAGGCAGTGTCCTTCCTGACAGAACTTGCCTCCATGGATCTTCTGTACATGGAACTCTATCTAGAATATGGTTCTGTTGATGCTGTTTTCTGTGATGTGTGTGTCTGTTAGAGTAGGCTCTCTACCCGGCTAGAACACCTTCCAAACACTTGCTGGACAACTGCCTTCCACATACTTCCCAGTTTACATTTGGTCTTAGTGATCTTGAATAGACCCTCTATTCATTTTACTCAGTCAGGTTTTGTACTGATGTACAGGTGTTAAATTACTTCAGGCATTTTTTGTAAGAATTATATATGATTAAATAAAAAAAGTGATGGTTAAGTTCTGGGGGCTTTGTAAATGATCCCAGTAAAATGTGACGCAGAAAAATATGAATCATGTTTAGGATGAGAGAGAAGGGGAAAACAGTAGTCCTGGTCAGCTTTATAATAGAGAGCCTGCTTTCCGTAGCATGAAGAGATGTATATTGTAGTCCTGCCACTAATTGCCAAATGTCTTTAGTTGGGCCACTGAGCTTGTCTGAATCTGTTTCCTCATTTATAAAAGAGTTATTACATTGAAACAAGGAGTGAAATCCAAACCTGTCATATTGTATGTATTAAATATGTTCAGCTTTTCAGTTAAAAAAATTGCACTGGCTTTGAGGGAAAACACACAGGGTGAGAAAATTGGGCTAAATGACTTCTTAGAGGCCCCTTTCTGATTCTTTAACTTTGAAAGGCAAACCTCATTGATTGAATTATTATAGTGAACTCATGGTAATGGTTTGTGAGAACAGTACAGAGATTTTCATTTCTATTTAGATGAGTTGGTATGAGAATATATGGAATTTTTTTAAGGGGCTGTTTAAATCTTTGATTTGTAGACTATGAAATATACCATATATATAAAGTAACCCTTTAGCTATTGAGCCTTATATATCATAATTTATCTAAGGTAAACATGTATGACACATTTTCAGTTTGTGACTACAGATAGGTTAAAAGTAATTTTTAATTGTATTAAAAATATAACTTAATGCAGGTTGTTTGAAGCATCTGTCTTCATATGATAGCATTAGAACACCTTGGTATAATAAAAAGTTACCCTAATTTATGATTATTTGTATTTATCTCTTCTGAAAATTAATAAGATCTAAAATTGGCATGATAATCAAGATTAATATTTTAGTGAAATTTAAAATAAATTTAAGCCATAGTTAAAAACATTGCTGCATTCATGAGTGCCCTTAGGAAAAGGTCCACAGTAGAATCAGAAAGTCAAACCTCTCCTCCTCCATACCCATATCCTGCTGTCTATAGGATATGTTTATGCTGGATTAATTGCCAGGTTTTCTTAAACTTTTAGGAATTATACTCTGGTGGCTCACTAGTAGATTCTACAAATTATTTTTTAATTGACTTCCTTAGAGCTGCAGGAGAATATCTGGCAAGGTACATTTAATATTTGGAAAAAAGATATGACTAGTAATATACTTTAGTAAGAAAATAAGCATAACCTGGCATCAGGTAGGCATTGTAAGGTTGAGCTGTCATATCTGGAAAAAAACAAAAGCAATATAATTTATTACAGAAGTTACTTTACACCAATGCTTAACATTTATGTCTTTAGGTACACACTCTTTCCATTTTAATATGCTGATAGGGTAGGACATCTAAAGAGAGCTTTAGGAATCACATCTATTTGATGAGGTCAGATTTTTGACAGCAAAATGACTTAAAACTGAGAATAACTCCAGAAATGAAGACAGGCTGAAGTATTCTGAAGCCAGTGATATTGTCACTGATCATTTGCTGCTTTTTGTGTATGTGTGAGCTCATCAAATCCTATATAATTGAACTGATCATTGTTAAGAGACAACATGAGCAGTGATTTGGGTATTATTCATTGTTGCATCTTTGGATACAAACTTTCCTTTCCAATGGAATAGGTTAATTTGTGCTGAAAGAGACAGTAACTGGAGGTAGAAACAACACTCATGTCATTTTTGGCAGATAATGCTGTTTTGTTCTTTAGTCACTTGTGCCAAAATCACTCTTCATGAAGATGGTTTCTAATCAATCTTCTGTACAAGCTCTACATCACTTGATGACTGAACACTGCTTCATGAAGTCTTGTGTTTTCTGCAGCCTGATAGGTTCTTCTCATTTGCCTTAAGGTCCCTGCCTGGTTCGAGAGACTGGTCCACCTCTGCTTTGAGATTTTGTAGACCCATGTAACTGAGGACCTGTCAAATGACATCACAGAGTAACATTAGTAGACAGTCCAGGTTTGATAATAACTCAAGTTTATAGCTAAGGGCTTTCTTGCTCCAATTACGAATTGGACTTTCTTAAGGTATGAAAGCAGTAAACTAGTTTTGCAGAAGAGCCCACTAATTAAAAAGAACTAGATGTCTGATTCACTTCTGTATTACATTAGTTATACCTGACTAACAGTGTGGCAGAAATTACAGCCCAAATGCAGATTTGAAAGCAGAATCTGATGAAAGCATTTAAAGACTACCAAACAATGCTACAGGGCCTGAGAAATCACTTGGACTACAAAGATTGCTTGAGGCAGACTAGTTTTTACTATAGTTGCTGATTACTGTTATTAACAGGAAACACCTCAGCTGTCCTTTACTTCTGAATGTACCTTTAGCATAGTAAGAATGACCCTGATGTGGTGAGAAGACTGTCAAAGGCAGAATTAAAATATCCCACAGCCTGGGCAACATAGTGAGACCCTTCTCTATAAAAAGTAGCTGGGTGTGGTGGCACTACTTGTAGTCCCAGCTATGTGGGAGGCTTAGGTGGGAGGATCCCTTGAGCTCAGGTGTGTGAGGCTCCGGTGAGCCATGATCATGCCACTGCATTCTGGCCTGGTCAACAGAGTGAGACCGTCGGAAAAAAGACATCCCTCTTTGCTGGAACTGAGTCATTTTGAGTGCAAAAAGGAAAAAAAAAAAAAGACATCCCTCAATTTCCTCCTATCACTTTTTTGTTAGTACATCTACAGAGTATAATTTGAAGATAAAAAGAGTTGATGGGATAGCGTCAGACTTAGCATACCATGATGGTTTAGAATTTCTTTTCTTACCTTGTCCTAAAAGATTAACTGATCCAAGCAGTTTAATCCATAGGAATACGGATTTAGCCTACATAATAAAATCCATGCCATGTTCTTCAAGAATATTTTGAATGTTATAACAAGGACTCATTAGGGTTAAACTTTATAGATTAAAAAAAAAAACCAGCAGTTTACTAAAGTAGTGGTAAGTTAATTTGCATGGTATTAAAAAAACGTGAAACTTTTTGGCTCAGAGCAATAGAACTTTCCTAGCTTTTTGTTATACCCCATGTTCCAAAATGAATTTTAGGTGATTTACAAAGATGGGAAAAAATAAATCCAAGAGAATCTGAAATAGGTGTAGGAAAAAGACAAAAGCTGGGTCTTAACACATCCACACAGTAGTAAATAAGGGCCATGACCCCACCTGTACCTGTAGATCCCTTACCAGGTCGTGCCTGATGAGGATACTCAACTGCCCATGAGCGATGATACTGTGTATCCAGCTAAAAGAGAAAAGAGGAGACACTTTGTATGATGCAGCTCCTCCGAAAGGATAATATTTTAGCAGGTTCACAGGAAAACCTTGAAATCAACAGTGTAAAAGGCACAGACTACCAGCCTGAGGGAAAAGTCGGCTAAGTGCACTGTGTTGAATTTCGAGTAGAAAATCCCAAGCCAGATGTGCACAAAGCCATTTATTAACTTGTAAAAATTGCGAATTCTTCAGTGTGATTACTATGCTGTTAAGCTACTTGCTGTGTGTGTGTGTGTGTGTGTGTGTGTGTGTGTGTTTGTGTTTGTGTTGTTTTCCCTCTGAACCTGTTTTTTTTTCTTGTTTTGAGATGGAGTTTCGCTCTGTTGCTCAGGCTGGAGTGCAATGGTGTGATCTCACTGAAACTTCCACTTCCTGGGTTCAAGCAATTATCCCATCTTAGCCTCTTGAGTAGCTGGGATTATAAGTGTGTGCCACCACACCCGGCTAATTTTTTGTATTTTTAGTAGAAACGGGGTTTCACCATGGTAGCTAGGCTGGTCTTGAACTCCTGACCTCGGGTGGTCCGCCCGCCTCGGCCTCCCAAAGTGCTGGGATTACAGGTGTGAGCCTCCACACCTGGCCACAGCTAGCATTCTTTTTTTTTTTTTTTTTTTTGAGACGGAGTTTCGCTCTTGTTACCCAGGCTGGAGTGCAATGGCGCGATCTCGGCTCACCACAACCTCCGCCTCCTGGGTTCAGGCAAGTCTCCTGCCTCAGCC